TGCTCAGGAGTGCCGCGCACGTCCAGGCATAGGCATTAACTGTGGCCTGCTTAGCCAGCTAGAGTACAGGCTTAGCGGCCCCAAGAAAAAGGCACTTTCTAGGTTATGTAGGTCGAAGTGGATGTGGCTGCAGTGCAGTTCATGGCTCGCACGTGTTAAACACACGGGAGAAAAAATCAACCCGCAGCAAACCTCTGAACCCGTTTACAGCCGGAACACTGATGACGATTTAAAACCGTTTGCCTTGAACTCGTTGGCGAGCTTTGAAGGCTGAGTGCGTTGATGAAGTCTTCATTTCACCGTTGAAATCTGTTGAGGCGCTCAGCCTGACAAAACCATTCTAATCTTGTGAAACCTTGCAAGCTCTGGAAGCGTTTCTTGTATACAAAAAAATATATCTCTGTGTGTGTCTCTATATACATGGTACATGTGAATGCGACAAAGACGACCTCAAAGCTTGGTGCTCCTGGTTGTGCCTGATCTGCATCTGGCATTCCCCTGGCTTCTGGACAATCGTACGCAATCTGACAGAGGCCGTGGGCCCCGCGTCCGTGAAGGCACGAACCAGCTTTACGGACAGGCATATGTTCAATGTGTCACAACGTCCCGCCACGCTCTGCCCATGGAACGGGGGCTGGACCACATTCGTGCCACGGAAAATTTGTGGCCTAGCACGCGAGTTACCGCATGACATGTCGCATCCAGGACGCCACCCAAAGTGTTCAGTCCGGCCTACGAAACTCGCGCAGCCCGGAGTCCAATGGCGAGTTCAGCTGCTTCCACTGGACATTGGAATCAGCATCCGCGCAGTACCTGCACGTGGGCACTAGTGGCAGCCGCTTGTAAGCCGCTGCACAGGCATGTGCTGAAACTGCTCGGAGATGGCGCAACACACGCTAGGACGTACGGCTGGGCACGACAAGTCGCCAATCTCTCGGCTGGTCACCTGCAACACGACAACGTGTTACATACGACCAAAGATGTCTTCAACCCTTCCCAAATATTATCAAAGATTTTCTGCTACATGTGCTGTATTCGCATGCCACGATTTTATCACAGTGCTGTGCAGGGAAACGCCAGTGTGAGAAAACATTTATCCCAGTGCAGGGCCGCTGTCTCTATTGGAATCACACGAAACATAGCCACCAGGCCTTGCCCTCGTAGCGCAGGAACTCCACTATGCGATCCCAAACACCTCATGGCTTCATGGTTTTGGGCTCCACCTTTCATTGCTGCAGCCGACTGAGCCTGGACAATGGACATGTCCCAAACATTCCGAAGTTGTGTCCAAGTAGCCGTAGAAGGACATGGCTTCCCCATTCGGGCCCTGCAACGCGTACGGGAGCACCTGGCCGAGCAGCAGTGAAATTCAGCTGAAAATAGCCGGAAACCTGTTGTAGTACGGCCTGTTAGTTAGATGTTGGGCCAGCAGCCAACTGCACGCTGGCCTTTGCTGGAAAGCGCTTCTGGATCTTCGATACACTGTCCTCTTCAGCTGGCATCCCAAGTTTGTTGCTTTGTGCTGAGCTGAAAAACCATGCAAAGGTACCGAAACACGTCCAAGGTCGCGGGGCGCTTCGTTTTCGGCTCACAGCCACGTGTACTTTGGCTCCGGCATTTTCGAGGGCCAGTAATTCAGGCATGGGTTCAGAGAAAGCATGGCTGGCACCTTAGGCACACAGCAGCCACTAACACAGTGCAACAAGTATATAGTCCCGAACCAACAACTTCCTAGCACTCGGACTAAGTTCAGCTTGCGCTTCTCCAACAAGACTTTCCCCATGGCTTGAAGACAGTGCAACGTTGTCAACAAAAACTGGCTTCAGCGCAGCTTATCCTGCAACAAAGATGCCAGCACCGTGCGGACCACAAAGGTGTCCACCACGATGCTGAAGATGAAGATGAAACCCATCCTTGTAGCATATACATGCCCATGACATCCTGTGATTGAAGGTTTGGGTCAAAGTTTGGTCATGGTGCTCCCTGAGTCTTAATTAAATGCGGCAAGGTTAAATTGCGGGAAGGATTGGAAGGGCAGCCCTTGCCACTGACATTAGATGACCATGCACATGCCATGCCATACCTCGTGACTTGACCAGCAGCCATGCGGCGCAGACCTACAACTGGTAGCCGTGTGCGATGCCCGGCAAAGTGACAGTACTCGAGCTGTTGAGTCCTCTCCCAAAGCCTGACGTCTCACGGCCTGTGAAATCTCAATGGAGAAATTCGTTGGGAAAGCAAGGTGGAGCAGATTCAGGATCCCTTCAAAAAGCCCTTGACACACGCACAGTTACAAGCCTTTACGGGCCCATCTATACTGTGTCAGTGCATCAAGAAGCCTGTGCTATGTAGCATTAGATGGCCGTACTTCCGCACATGACCGACAAATAAACACAAGGAAGCATCTCACCTCTAAACGGAGATTGCAGCAAATGCACATCTCAGCCACATGGTGCTTGAGGATTATTTGCCAGCCAGTGTAATATTAGCCAAGCATCTGATTGGTGATCGCCATGCTGCCCAACATCATGCTTGTCTGGGCAAGAAACGAGAACAAGGAACAATTCCCGAACAGGATGTGCTGCTGATGTTGCTGCTCTGCAATGAGGTTCGCTGAGGTTCGCTAGCCGCTAGCAATATCTATGTAGAAGATGTTGGTTCTGTCATTCGCCATGAAACGAAGCAAGCACACGCGAATATGCAATACACACACACACACACACCCCGGAGAAACGACTGGCTGAACAGCAACGACTGCCAACTCTTCCATCAGAAAAATCCAACTGCGAATTGAAACAATTGTGCACGTACATAGAGTGAGCGCTCTCACTTTATATCGTCCCCGATCATAGAGCAGCTTTGTTAGCAGAGGAATCTGTGCAGCGCGAATGCCCTAGACTTGCAGCACCCCACACACAGTGAGCTACGAAGGCAGTTGCAAGCATTTCCCTACTATGAAAGTGAAACGCATGCACGTGAAGCAAGTGCACGCCCCCACACCCCCCCACCCCCCTCAAGCTGCTACGGGCACGCCAGTTGACGGAATGCGTACCAATTTCAGACAACGACTGGCTGAACCAGCGTGCGGCGCCAACACTTTCATTAATGAATGCCAACCCTTCAGATGCTCACCCTTCAGAAAATGCCAACTGCGACATCGAAACTTTTGTGCAGGTATGCAGAGTGAGCGTCCTCGAGAACTTGGGTTCTGCACACACAGACACACACCTCACCACTGATGCAAAGCTCACATGATGAAGCCCAGAAGCGAAGGTGAAGGCAAAAATGAGCCCAGCCGAAGTGATTGTTGGCCCTTGGTGTGATCTGCCGTTCATTTCGTGCGGGCTTGCTCACATGTTCAGGCGACAAATTTCCTCAAGCAGTTGCTTTTTTTCTAGGATTCTAGGACCGATGCCAGTCGCCGAGAGCGCCAGCTGAACCGATTCATTGTCGCCGAAGGCCTGTGACCAGTGCATGTGCACAAATGATGGCGGCACGGGCAGCGGTCAAACTGGGTTGCTGCAAGATGTCCCGAAGCATCACCGGTAATGTCGTATCGCGACTTCCAATCAAAACCCTCTGTGCTTCAATGGTTTGCAAGAAGTCGTGTTCACTGTCCATCGCCACTTATCTCGCGCGTTTGGATCTTTGGCAAAAATCTCCCGGTACTTCAGCTGCCATCCCGAATCGCAGCCTGTGCTCGGAACTCCCAGACTCGCTCGAACAGAAAGACGTCGTAGTCCTGGGCGTCTAGAAACGTGTTTCCTGGCATACTTTGCCCTGGCGGGGGGTGACAGGGCACCGGCTACGCCAATGCGTGCTATGATGGGGTCAACCATTAGCCCTAGCCGCTTGGTCTCCGGAACCGGACAGTGCATCAGGACGGGTTTGGAGCTAGCTTTGCCGCTCTGACATCTTTTGCGAGTTCTTGTTTTACCTTGACAGTATGTGAGGCAAGCCTGCCTGTTCTCCGCCCACCCCTTTGCCATGTTTCCTATCCGACCATAGGGGACGAACACCAACTTCGGCATTTTCTTTGAGACCCTACCCTACCCGCCTCCTACCGCTTGCTTGAACATCTGCCTACCCGGCCAACCCACCTCCCTGCCCCTTCCCTTTTGCGCCCATTTTCCTTCCCCCTCCCGGACCCTCCCTCGCCTTCGGTGGATTGGACCCTGCACCCTTCAACCCTTTTTGCAGCCGGCTTGCAACGTACCCGAAACCCTATAGACACTAAATCCTGAACACTAAGAAAAACACCTTAAACCCCATGAAGCCTGGTGTGCCGACCTTGCCTCGCCGCTGCAGTAGCAGCAGGCCCCAGCCGAGGCGGGTCGCGTAGCATTACAATTATCGTTGGCAGGTCCCTGTGTTGATGGTGCGGGCAGGGAATGGTGTTTTTTCTCACGAGGTGCCGGTCGAGCACGCATGCAGGATGCGCTTCTTCTTCTTATCCTTCTTCTTCTTCTTTTTCTTCTTCTTCTCCACGCTTAAGAGGGCCCCCGAGGGAGGCCCTCGGCCGCGACGGCCAGGCGGTTCTTGTCTCAGTCTATGGCCTCCTTTTGAGACCGTGTTGTGAGGGCTCACAGTTGTTTCACTGTGGCCAAAGGCTGCCGGATGCGCTCTCTCTCTCTCTCTCTCTTGCTTGCTTGCTTGCTTGCTTGCTTGCTTGCAGAGCGTGTGACTCCCACTCACTCTCTCACAGGCAAGGCAGCTCCAAGCTCCGTCTCGCAGAGACGCCTTCGGTGGCCACTTAAGGCACACTGCCGGCAAACACATGGAAGCGGGATACGGATGCTGACTTCCATTTTTTCAAATCGGATGCGCTGATGAGCACTCACGGTGTGGGAGACATGGTTTCGTGTGGTTCCTGGCTGTGCAGAGGTTGCCAGCTGCTCAGCACTTGCCCGCTTCACCGGCTGGGCTGCGCATAGCATCCACATGGGAGCCATGCGCGACAAGCGCAATGTGCATCGCTTGAGAAAATCCAAGCTGGAGCCTTACCAGAGAATCCGGCGGAGAATCCTGTGAAAAATCCTGCGGAGAATGTTGCAGAGAATCCCTGCCTCAAAAAAATAACAGTAGAAGTGGCAAAGTCGAAGCTCTTGGTGTGAAAGGGCACGCTGCAAGCAAGCTTCCAGGGCCAAGCCAAGCATGATGGTGAGGGTGAACATTGGCACCGTCCAGTCCAAACCTCCATGCGTGGCAACACGGAGTCTGCAAACACCGCATGCTCTCAATCCTCATGCGGAGAGAATACCCAAATCGCAGGCTTCAAGAATGAACCTGTGACAAAATCAGAATGTATCTAGCTCGGGCCTGCGGGGCCGCTGTTCGTAATGTACCTGCGAACCCCTTGTTCGAAGGCTGACTGAACGAGATTCACAGCACATGTGGGATGGAAGACGAAATCGGAGCTGAGGGCGTACAAGCCGCGCCTACTGTATGCTTGTCTACGCATATCTACGCTTCTCTTCGCTGGTACGTCTATCTCAGCTGCATGGCCAGGCTACGTAGGAGATAGGCCAGGGATGCCCGTGAATTCCAAGAAGCCATCTTCGTAAACATACCTCGAGATGCAAGGGTATTGGAGAGGCAAACGGAGTGCCCCCGGTCAAGATATAAACATAATCCCCCGGCATTACAAGTAGTGCTCTTCCTGCCACCCAGAGGCAGCGCCGCTCCATAGGCCCACGTGATGGGGAGGATTACCGTGAAGAGCAACTTGAATGGGATTAACCTGCAGACGAACTCAGCTCTCATACCTTCGCTACCCGACGCCGCACGTGACAGGTCGTTTGCTGATGATGCCGAGTAGCCAGGCATGAAAGGAGATAGCAATGAGAATGAAGCAGACCTGTCAGCAGCGAGGGGCTTTCTGCACGTTGTTCCTGCTATTTCCGCGACTCTGTGCTCCTGGTCTTGGATGCGGTAGCTGCAGAATCGGATAAGGAGATAAATGACCCATCTCTAGGCATCCAAGGCACCATCGCACAACCCATGAAGGCCACGAAAAGCCGATCATGAGTCACTTCGATCATGTCCTGAGCATCTCTTCTTTCACGGAATCTCTAGGTGCCCATTTGCAGCGACATTCACGCAAGCCTGGTGTGCGATTGCACCCTTCTTCTGTTCAGGCAGGGGTCCATCATAATTGCACTTGGTGAGAACATGCGGTAGGTGATGCCAGGAAAACCGTAGTTCCTGACTTCAGCAACGGCAAGCGTTAAAGCTTCGCTCAACAACGATGAGCCAATCACTGCTCCGATTTTGAGAGAATGTCAAAGTCACAGGCCTTGCTGTTTCGCTGGCGTTGTGCAGCATGTGGCGGATTTCCTGAAAAACGTCGTGCACGTGCCCTGTTTTCTTGCACAATCTAATGACTGAAGGACATGTCTTGAAAAGACCTGCTTTTCTCTAGGCCGATCACAACAACGGAACACCTGCCGCACGTGAGCCCAGCCACTTTCGTCATGTTGAAAGCTTCCGCGCTGAACGGATCCTGCACCATGGGCGAACAAGGCTGTACCACTGCGCTGCAAAAGTTTGCCAAGTTGTGTGGCTAACTGCCGAATCAAATGGCTAACGTCAAGAACTGGACGAACGCATGCTACACGCTTCGCCTAAGGGCTCAGTGTGAACTAGCCGGGTTTGGAAGGGCTTGTGCTGCGAATGCTGAGCCCAAGTCCATCTTCGGTGTCAACAGGGTCAGCATGGCATCACGCTCTGAGCTGACCAGTTGATCCCAGAGCTTCTGCATCAGCCTGCGCGAGAAGAAGCAATCGGAAGCGCTGCTCAGCGGGTCTATTAAAGCTGCCTGCGCTCGTCAAGACGTTCGTGTGAGACGTGCGCAAAAGCACGTTGGACATTGCCTAGAGGTAAACATGAACTTCTGGGTGAAGTAGTTGGCACCTGCAGTGGGCAAGACATGCAAGTCCAGAACCAAAGACGTGAAACATTTGGCTGAAGTTTGGTATTGCATCGCTGTGCGCAGATGAGCCGAGAATTGCAAAGCATGTTGCAAGTGGGAGGGTTTCCAGCTGAGACCGGCGCGATAATAGTGCGTTAGCTGGTAGTTCAAGCACTTCACGTCTCCGTTCCTCGATCGGCTGTCTCTCGTACATGGCTCACAAAAAGGACCCGTCTCTTTGGCCAGTCTTTGGCTTATTGGCCCTCGTTCATTCATTCGGCCTTTAGTCTTCAAACCTCGCCGCTGGTACCGGGAGTGGGTCTGTCGTGCCCTGTACTGTTACTGCGAATTGAAACGGGACCAGCAAGTGCCATCACACCAGCAAAGCTCACGTCACAGCAGCGATACTCCTGTGTTCAGACCGGGAACCTAAGCCACAAGCCGTTCGATTTCGAGCAAGTCTCTCATGTGCGCCATAGAACGTCGGAGACTGGAAGTCGTCTGAATCCAGCGCGAAGGAATGATTCCTTTCCACACTGCTGGTCCAAACTGTTCAAAGATGGTTCACGACCCTTTAACTTCATCTCTGGGCGGCATGTCGGGGGGAAAGTGGGGGTTGTTTGTAGCGCTTCAGGGAGTTTTGAGGGAGGGAGCTCACGCACTCCCCCCGCAGACTCATTTCAGTGCACGGCTTAAAGGTGCGGCTTTGGATGAACTTTAACTTTGGATGTGAGGTAGAAGCTATGCTTGCATGCCCAGACCTCTGTGATGCCTGCTGATTAGCGGCTATGACTTTGTGTGTAGGAAACGATCGCGAAAGATTGTGTACATAGTAAACGAGGAACAATACCGGAACCCCAAGTCAATCACGCACGCAGCCTGATGAGCTATCCTGCTCCACGTGTCCGCAAAAAGCGGGGAAGGTCTGCATCAAAAAGCCTGACCCCGAAAAAACCCTAAGACAAACTCCCTCTTTCTAGATGTAAGGAGCTCTTTCCCCAATGGGACCCTTCTTACAACAACCCTCATGTAGTTTCTATTCCCCAAACAGCTTTAGCCGGGAGTTCTCAGTTTGATGTAAGAAAGGGTTTCTGTGGTCTGGATGCTGGATGCTGTGACCCGCATCTGGCGGGACGTGGGACTCTCGTCTCCCAGGTCTCCCATTTGTCTCCCAGATGTCTTGCTGCTGCTGCTGCTGCTGCTGCTGCTGCTGCTGCTGCTGCTGCTGCTGCTGCTGCTGCTGCTGCTGTCAGATGCGGGTCCTACTGCACCAGACACGTCATGGCAAAGGAAGCGAGTCCTCCACAGGCGCAACACAGCAGTTGCAGGCGAGTTTCTGTGAGGCTTGAATAAGTGAGTTCACCATTCCTCGATTCCGTAATGTACGGTTGGATTGAACAGCGACTCAGAACGCACACCAGAACGCACACAAAGATCCACAGAACATGGCTGAGCCGTGTGTTGCAGAGCTGCTGCAATTTTCGTCGAAGAAGGCCTGCCCTCTGACATCCAGTGGAGCCTGCGCGAATCTCGCACCAAAAGCTTAGGGCCTAGGGCAGTGGACCCTGGAGGCATGGAAGCGGTCGTCTTCCCTAAGAGACGAAATACAGTAGAATCTACAGAAGCCCAAAGTAGTCCCCGGCAAGTCCCCGATCCTCAGTCGTGATCTCCACCGGCAGAATCAGCTCCTGATCCAATCGATGCTAAGCACGTGCCGTCCACTTACGTGCCAACTCTTGCCGACGGTAGCTGGGAGCATGGCAGAGTCGTTGGCAGTGCCGCCTGAGAGACAGGCATGAATTGAATGACATGGGCTTTCTGAACAAGCAACCGAGCATTGCAAACATGGCGGGTAATAGGTAAAGCCGCGATGAGCTTTAGGAAGAACTTTAAGAAGGAGCCAGGACATGCGTGTTCTCCATCTGCTGGTACTGAGCTAACTAGCGGAACATTTAAAAATCTTAGCTATCGGCACGACGCGCGGCCGCGCGTCGTGCGGTCGCGTTCTGGTGAACCAAGCAGCCCATAGCTTCCAGGTCTTCTGGTGCCACAAGCGCATGTCGGTCTTTGGATTCATCTTGCAACCGATTAGTCGCGATGATCAGCCTGGAGAGGAATCATCATGGCGACTTGCGTGTTTGGCAGTCCGGGACGTGACCAAACAGTTTTGAGCTACCCGCATGGTGGATCGAATGCATTTTCGTCGTGCAATTCTCTTTCGAAGCCATGAACCCTGACCCCACTATCCGCAACTCCTTCAGCAGGCTTTGCCTTGGATTTAGCCGGGTCACGTTGGCATCATGCCTGGGTGCTTGTGCATCAACAAGCTGCTTAACTACGGTCACCGGTCACTGCGCACCCGTGTCCCCCTCCAACTCAGGGAAGTTGTAGCCGCTGTAGCCAAGCGACAGCCCACACTCGGGGGAAAGTCTCGTTGGATCTGTATCGAAGTCGCCCACTCAGGCCGACCACGAGGAACTTGAAGCTCATAAGCGTGGCCCATCTTGTACCTGAAGGAATGCTGCGCAGCGGCTCGAAACATAAGAGCAGGGCGAAGGAAAGCGACGACCCCGAGCCCCGAGGCTGCTGCCAAAGCAAAGTACTCTGGTAGTCTCTTCAGGATTTAGGCTGTGCATGGTTTGCAGACTGTGAATAGTTTTCTTCAGAATTTTAGTTTCCAGTTGCTTTCAAGACTGCATTGCAGCTGCCCCAGCATGTGCAGAAAGAATCTGTTCAAAATGTTGGCTTTGCAGGGTTGAATCCTCCAGCTCTTCAGGATTTAGGTCTTGCAGGGTTTCGTTCATCAGGCTTTGATTGCAGCTGCCAGCAAGGCAAGGACATAGGCGTTGCTGGAGATATCCGTTCAGGAGTTAGGTTTTGCGAGGTTCGCGCGTGGGTGTACAGTTCCCATGGAAATTCTGTTGCAGTTTCCCTATGTTGAAGCAACGCCTGCAGGCCGCTTAGGCGGGAGGGGGGGGGGGGGGGTGCGGGCGGGAGGGGGGGGGGAGGGGGGGGAGGGGGGTGCGGCTTATCCGCGCTCACCTAATCAGGAAGAGCACTGAGAATGAACTCAAATTTCTGAGATACCAAGAAGAAGGACATCTCAAGTCGCTTTTGCCAAAGACAAGGAAGACACGTTCCTGCAAGCTCCAAGAAGGAGTGAGCCTTTCGTGACCTCCTGGAAACCTTTTTCCGAAATGCGAAGATGAAAAATCCCAAGCACATCTTGACAGTATCTTTGTTGCAGACCGGAAGCTTCATGACACGGAGAGTCAGAGGAGTCATGACGGCGTAAATCAAGAATGGCACGAGGATGTTCCTGGAGCTTTGCGAGGCTCAGGCTGGAGAAGCTCAGTTGGCCAAGCAAAAGCAGGCCGACCGGCTGCCAAGCTTCAAAGGACACTTTGTCAGCAAGCCTCCAATCTCATAGTAAGCCTCAGGTCTGCTTGGCGTTGCCTGTATGAGCTGACGACATTGAAGTCCGCCGAAAGCGATCCGCAAGCGACCGCGAAGTGTGCACGCGTCTCAGCGCGAGGCTTACTAATTGCCAGCAAATTTGGGCTCTTTGCATTGCCCTACAACATCTCAAGCAACTTGAACTGGTGCAGCGCAAGTATGCGCAAGTTCACAGCGCGGGGCCCCTGAGCGGAAAGGCTGCACGCGGGCGTACCTTGGCTGCGAAACACGACTCATGCGGCATGCGGCCACCACGGGCACCAACACAAGTTTATCTCCCTGGCCAGCAAATATGCTACGGCTACGGCTGGGGTCATGCCACGCGGAAAGCATAGGTAACATAAGAGAAGACATGCATCTGCGCATACGTCGGGTTGCGCTCTGCGCTTGGCAGGGCTTGCAAATTCGAAGTCCTCGGAAACTTAGTTAAGCCCGGCAAGGAAGCGCCACACTGAAGCCCGATTGACTCAAACCTCAAGAGAAGGATCATGACACTCAACACAAGCAGCCTCATGCTGTAGCCTTGGGCTGACATGAGGTGATTAAGAGGTGCAAGAAAAGGCCGCAGGTCCTCATCATCGAAGTCGCCCTTTTCCATAGCGTCCATCTCTTCAAGGAGCTCTGCCTGACAGCACTTCACGGAGATTCGATCTTAGTTTGATGTCCACCCGCGAACTGGAACTCCTGGAACTGCTGCTACTGTTGAAGGAGGAAAACTGGCACCACAGTGGCACCACCTTACAGAAACTCCCCAAGTTGAGGGAGTACCCCGCGCCCCTGATTCATGCTGATTTCTTGTCGTCTCGTCTCAAAAACCGTGGCTTCCAAGGACAAAATCTCGCACCGCTCTGTGCCCGTCATCTTCAATGTTAAAACAGGGGGCGCTGGGCCACGCTCATGCGTTGTGTTGCTTGTCACGAAGCAGGTGACGCAAGATTTCCCCCATCAAACGTAGTTCCAGATGTTCGCCATGTTTCACCGCAACTTAGACCAAGCAAGCTCTGTGAATAAAACGTTGCATCCTGCCTATACCTTCTTCGGGCAAAATCATTACATTTCTCGGTGTTGCGGCGTCTCCCGTTCCACGGTTGCATGCATGGAAGGCTGTAAGGTCGGGAATGCCCTTGGCGATGCAATTGCATTATTTGAACGCTTGCACAACATCTTGGATCCCACCTGGCGATCCTCCTCTGTAGGCTCAAAGCCTGCGCCCAGCCATGGTACCAGGGCCAGGACGCAAGGCACAAATGTCCTGAATACTGAGACAGCTCTGCACCAATACATGCCGACAGATTGCGTTAAGTGAGAACTCCGATTTCAGACTTGGTAGTGTGACCACCCGGGAAAAGCCCATCAGCCTAACTTCATGAACTCACGGCGCAGGATTTCCACCCTCATTGTCTGCCAAGATGCATCTGTACTCCAATGCAGCACCTGAGCGCTGGAGTCGGGAGTTGTGAGGGAAGCTTTGGGTTCTGTGGGCAAGCTAATGTTTGTTCGATGCGGCCGTCGGCACAAAATCATTGCGCAGGCAGCCACGCAGAAGCTTTTGAAGGCACCTCATAGCAACAAAGAAAACACTTCTGAACGCTTCAGCTTGCCACCTTGGATTGGGACCTTGCCCTTTGAAAGCTCCAGACGTTCCAAACTCCCTCAATCTCCCTTAAGGCTCCCTGCCTGGTAGCACAAGCATTGCCGCATAGGCGATGGTCAGGACCTCGACATTGTGACTTGCTATGGGCATCTGTCTGCACCATCTTTCAAAGTTCTGAAATCTGGAAGTGACATGGCGCACAGCGGCTGAAAAGATCTGCAACAACAGACTGCTTTGGTCCAAGGCACCAAACCTGATACCATGACCACGTGGCCGCTTTGTGTAATCACTTTGTCCTGACAGCGCCAACTCAGTCATTTGTTGGCTTTGCACCACGACGGGTCGGATGAGGCTCAGAGTGATCGTAAAAATTGTTGAGTTAATCTAGAAGTTCATGACTGGCATGAACGAGGCACCAACTTACGCATGGTCTTCAGCTGGTCCAGTCTGCCAAGCGTCGATCGCTTCTTCCATGGTGGCCCCATGCTTGCGCTCTTCCGCATATCGTGTCATTGTAAAGAGCGAGTAGTCGAAAGACAAAGCCTCTTTGGGATTTACATGGGCATAGGCCATGCTACGTCGTGCAATGGTGCCGCTCCAAGGAACTGTGCACAGCATAAGCATCATTACCAGTGCGTACATGATCACAGGGAGGTGGAGAGAAACAAAGTACCTCAGCTTTGCTCAACCCTGAACTCTGCGGAGCTCTGTGCCCTTCCTCCTGCTAGTTCTATTGCCAAACCAAAATAAAACGAGAACAGGCTGTCGAAGCTTCTCTGCTGCTGTTGCTTTCGAGGGTTTTCTTGCCTAGTGGTATAGACTCTAGGTACAATGCGAACCCGACAAGCTGGCTCAGCCCAGGCCCATTCCAGGGTCATAAATCCCCGATGCCATCGCTTCACTTCGCAAGCTCTTTTTCAAGCGGCATGAAGCCAAAGGAGATGAGGATGGAAATCGGCATGGAGCACAGCGCAAGCCTCAGCTCGCGGATAGTCACGATTAAGTCCTGGATCACGTCCAGAAGCATCACGGCCCAGCAGCAACTGGTATCTCACACTGGCATCTCACAAGCAATACAGATTTCAGCTCCTATTCCTGGCTATGTCTTTGACCTAGAAGCGTTGACATGGGAACATCATGGCACCCTGTGGCCTGGGCTAGGAGTCGCTTGGAGAAACTTTGTGCGGGCGGGTGGCAGAAGGAGTCTTGCACTCTGGAGACGCAGCGCCAGAATCGCAAAAGGAAGCCAAAGCGTTTCGATCTCGTGAATCGGGACCTGTCCATGTTTGCCATGTTTCAAGTACTCGCGACTCGTCAATGCAGTAGCCGGTGCGGGACCACACAGACCAAGCCTGCTTGGTAAGCAAGCTTAAGCGTAGCTACTTTACGCTGCATTCGACCTTCACAGTTAACGGTCTGCCAACCTGCAGAAAAGCATGGGGCCCCTGACTCCTCCCCGGATTTTCGCTCATACTCACAAGGGAGCCGTTCATTCGAGGCGGATAGCAGTCACTGCTGCATTCGCCTACGGCCATGTATTGCCGCATGGAATTCCGAGCTGGGCCTCATGCAGCACCGTTTCCTTCATGGCAATGTTCAAGAACGTCGGTCCTTCCAGGAAGAGGGCCAGGGAGGACCCGAATGGGATCGACACATATAACCGCCCTCAAGGCAATATGTTATGTCCTGTCACGGCAATGTCGTAGGCCACCTGTCCTGATCTCAGGATCCCTGTGCACTGCACAGCTTCCACGCAGCAAGAGGAGCGAACCTGGAACATCTCGAATCTGCTCAGCATTCCTCGGCTTCCAAAACGTGCAGAACAGCGTGGCTCCAGTACTTTAGCCATTAAGCTTCGGGACTTGTAGCTGGCATGCTGGGGACAACGTAGGCACTTTCTTGATCTGGGGCTCATGTACTCGATCTTCGTACTGATGCGCTTGGCAAAATCCTGGGCGATCAGCTTCATGGTGCCGTTCACACGCCAGCCTGAGCTCAGTGCTGCTTCTTAGAATTCTGCCCTCTGGTTCTGAGCGCTGGGGCAGGCAGGTCTTCCTCCCCTCCAAAAGATGCTGCAGAGGCTCTAGACAAAGGTCTGGGAGGCCCCCTGCAAAGCCCCCTGCAAGGCGTCTGGTCTGAAAGGTTTCTGAGGCCCCAAGGCCCTTCTGGGTGCTACGACCCAAACAAGCGACCTTAGCAGGCTTTATCGAGGTGCCCCGTGCCAACCCACACGCCCGTGACACACTGGTTTGAGAAGGCCCTGACAGGCCCTTCAAAGCTTCACATACTGTAGGAGTGCTCCAAGAACCCTAGAGTTTCAGTGGCCCAATTGCACCAAACGACCACAGTTATGTAACAAAGCGACCCAAGCAGAATCGAGGTGTCCCCAGTGCCAATGCCATTGCCGACATGCCCCTGACACACTGGTTTGCCCTGCCCATTGAATGGCACTGGCCCACAACGCAGGCTGCACTGTTGACACAGCACCGACAAGAGCCTTGCCGCAAGCACTGGAAGGAAATATCGGATAGGCGAAAGCCAAGCAACTCCAAACGAACAGAATACTTTGCTGGTCGTGGGCCAGCATGGGGTTGCTATCGATCTTGTCCCCGAACGTGTAATACGATCCTGGGTAGCCGACGTCAGTTCTCATGGCACTGCTGCCGCATGTGGCTAAACCCTTTAGGGGTTGGTTATGATGCCAGTAGGTCAGGCCTTCTTAAGTAAACGACGCGTTGTAAGTCAAAGCAACTGCTGCGCGACTTGCTTTTGTACACGTGGTGACCTGGCTTGAGGATCACAAATTTCATTAGTCGTTTTGCGGGCACAGGTGGCGAACGTCAATAATCGTCCCGGGGTAGTCATTTCCGAAGTTCAGCACCATGTCCTCGCTCCGCTCTCTGTTTCATGTCATCAGGCTGCTGAAACGTCTAACTCAGGTAAAGTGCCCACATTGCTGGACATCGCTTGAGTTTTGATTGGCATGGACATGTACAGTTGCGAATTGACGTGCGCATCAAATTGAAACTGTGGCCAGCAGTCCCGAAGCTGCTCAACGTAGGCCTGGCTTTCGACGGACCTGTGCAGTCTGAACCAGGGCATACCGGAACCACGTCTCAGAGGGTGCGCCCTGAGGAAACCATAGGGTCGCTCTACCTGCTTGCTTCGCCGCTTTTGTCAGAAACCCTCGATACAAGACACATTGAAGTCCAGCAGCACGGCGGTTCCGCAGTGCGGCGTGCACCTTAGTTGGTCACAGAACTTGCAAGAATTCAACCTAACCGTTAACATCCGTTAACCATCCCTTCCCAAAGCATGAAGCAAAGGACTTGAGCACAATCATCTCCATCTTCATGCCCACCAGATATGGGAACTTCACCTTCAAGGTAAACTTAAGGACATGGCATGTTCTGCCTCGCAACGGCTCAACAGCGAGTGGTTCTGTTTGTGTCAGCTTCATGTGCGTCTAGGGGGCCTCGAAGAGCTCCTCTGCCTCGAAAGAAGCGGTGCCGTGCGGCGCAGTCTTTGGCAAGGGAAGGGCGTTGAGCACCTCAGGAGTTCAAGCGGTGCCACCCGGGGCAACGTGGTACTCCGACACCCTCCTTTCTGCATTCTCTTTCAGGCAACAGGCTAATTTGTACGCAAACGGCGCCATAATCCTCAGATGAGAGCAACATAGAGCAACATCGTCACAGCTTGCAGCTTGCACACTCCTCACAAGAAGAGGCGACACCGAAGCTGAATGAACCTAGGCGTCAGCGCAAGCAATGGCCAGCAAATGACCAGGCAATAGCGAGAATTCCAGATCATCCTGGAAACAGCCTTGCGCTGAATTGAGCACGCGCTAAACATTGGATCTTTAGCCAGATCGGGATTTAGAACCTGCCCGCCGCTTCCAGCGGCGGATGTTTAGAAGCATGAGCACCAAAACAGTGGCCAAGCTGATGAAAAGGCGCACGAATGTATGCAGCTATGATATTACCCTCCCCTGCCTTGCCACACTGTCCCTCGTGGTGGCTGTCAGCGTCCCCTGCATGCATTGTTCTGAATGAGAGGGCAGAAAGCGTGCAGAACGGCCCCCATTTGAAACCAGTCGCTCAGACACTCAGCCGCTCAAACCAGACCCACCCACGTTCCCCGCTCAGACAGACGCTCAGACCCTCAGGTGCTCAGACCCTCGGATGCTCAGACACTTAGACACTCAGACACTGAGACGCTGAGACGCTCAGACCCTCAGACTCACAGACGCTCATACATTCACGAGGGTTTTAGTGACGTAAGTCACTGAGTGACTGGGTCTGTTCTCCCAGTGAGAGACTGGGTCTGGCCCAGCAAGAGTCTGAGTGACTGAGCGTCTGAGCGTCTGAGTGTCTGAGCGTCTGGCGCCAAAACAGCCGCAAACGCGCCCCCAATCCGTTTGTACATGCAACCGTTCTGAAATCTTCTGAACTCACACTCTCTGCCACCTTTATGATCTTTATGCTGCAGTCCTACATCTCCCATGGTAGTGGTGCCAAGACCGAGGCCGCGAGCCTCCCATCAAGCCTTCTTTCTCCTGACAATGTTCTTGTGTTACGTTGTGCATGGCCTTGTGAACTTGGCCTTGTGAACTTGGCCTCTAAGCCTCCCCTGCCCCAACACTTTGTTCTAAGCACAAAATTAACATGGCACGAGTCCGCACTGCCATGCACTGCCCGTTTGCGGAGTCTGAAGGTCCTCCGTGTTTGACAAGTCATGGCCGCCGGTTGAACCGCAGTCGTAAGCACTCTCCTGTGGAGGGGAAAATGCTGTACGCAAGCCCTGACTCACCTCAGTGTCGTTGATGAGACACGCACGTTTTCCGTCCCGATACCTCGTCGGAGCTGGCATCGCTGTAGCAGATGGCCTGCATGAGGCCTATGCCGGGCGGATGGCGGGCCGTTCTATTCGGCACAAGGAGGCTTCCCGGCAAAACAAGCCCGGAAACTCCTCTTGACTGTAGAGCCTAAATCGCGACAGAATGCGCAGACAAGCTGGGCACGGATGCAATCACTTTCATTGATCGCTTCTTTGCTGCATGTCACGTGCGCTTTGCGAACGCACAAGCAGCATTCCCGACACATCCCAGCACAATGGACGCGCGCAGGTGCACTATGCCTATGCTTGTACACATCTATAGTCTATAGTCCTCGGTCACAAAGCTGCGAACACGGCCACGTCGCTGGACGAAGACATAGCACACCCCTCAATTTATGGGGTGGTTCGTCTGCCAGTGGATGTGCTCAGTGTAGCTATCGGACGTCAGGGTCACGATGAAACACAACCATGATTTCATTTCGCGAACAGAACAGGCCTATTTACAGCATTTCCTTCACATGCCAACTTTCAAAGGGCCGCTGCTAAAACCTTTTGAACTTTGCTTTGATGCCTCGGCTTACAGAAAGCTTTGCTGTTAAGTTTTTCTTGGGTTTCTGGGGGCATGGCCCAGAATCGTACAGCCAAGAATGTGCCAGAGGAGCCTTGGATGCGCGGCCCTGCCAAGTAAAGGAAAGCAATCGGACTGGCGAAGGCAGTGCGTTGCAAATTGCAACACGAACGAGACCAGACAACACTGCAAGAGATTCCAAGAGGAGTGTTAACCTGAGCTACCGGGTGTGACATGTGCCAGGGGGCGTGTCCGCAAAGAAAAGGAAAAAGGCAGCACCTTCGCTTCTCAGCTTGGGGGGACGGCTTCATATTATGCAGCATTAGGATGTTGAACTGCGGCTTATGGCTCTGAATAGACTGCAGATCAGATGTCGCTAATAGCCGGTAACCCTGAATTCCCTGCGGGGATTCCCTCCGGGGATTCCAATCCCGACACGACCCTCATGTCGAACAAGGAAACCACTCCTTCGCTGGTGCAGATGGCATTTGGAAGTTGACGACGATGCTTTTTAAGGGTGATGTTCATGATGAGGATGCCCCTCAGGATGATGACACCCCCAACCCCGCGAAAGGAAAACCGGCGGCACAGCCGTGCACCCAGAAACGCAGACCTATCTTCTCGAACAGCCCCCGGGGATGCTCATCAAAAAGTTACACTCTATCGAGCCCTCAGTGGCTTTGGGTTTGCCGTTGCAAGCCCCCCTGCTCGGCGCAGAACATTTATTGAAGATGTAATACGCGGCATGCGTGTTTCTACCGAAAGCTTCCTGGCTCGTGCAGCGCATCTCTCCAAGGCTCGCACCCCAAATTCCGCAGCCCTCAAGGAAGTCACGGCTGAGAGGCGCATTGAGAAAAAGGCCCCGCCAGCCCTGAGTCCAAATGCAGGGTCCGAGAAAGCTCTGAAAAGATACGTTCCCCACCAGCTGGCGACTCATGCTTTGTCGCTTCGCTGAGCCAACAGCCATGGCATAAACATCAGCCTGGGAGTATTGACCTGAATGCATGTCAGATCACGTCAGGAACAAGTTATGTGAGTTTTCGGAGGCTTGCATATCCCTGCATGCCCTCCTGTATCGTCATGACGTTAGGCATCTCGCATATCCATGCATATCCGGCCACCCCGGTCGGAAACCGAAGGTGGCTCTCCAGTAGTTAAGCAGTTTTTCTGGGAACTGCGACGTCAGCGACTGAGAACCAGGCTTAGTCGCAGTTTCTCTACAGACCGGAGCATCTTGGAGATCAGGCCTGCGACGAGCACGAGCTTGTGAACCGATCCCTCGACATGAAACCATGTGGCCAAGACGGGCTCAGGATTTTTGTCATCTCCATTCAGCGGACAGCAGAACATACAAGTTCAATGAGACAGAGACAGTGCATGGCACATGCATGTGTATGACTTCTGAGCCCTGCAACCGTAGTAGGCCAGCACGCACTTCACCGTCAGCACGCATCCCTCAGCAGGCAACAGAGCAGTGAAACAAACTTCCCTATAAGATGCGACAAGTGTCGTAAGTCCTTCAAGGGCATATTTCACGTCGATAATGCTTGTCTTCCTTTCCCCATGCCTCCCCGGCATTGCCCGCAAGCCAGGCCGGAGCTGCACAAAGTACATCACATGATTACGATGCCATGCACAAAACCACTTGCACACTAGTAAAGCTGGCTCTCTCCAAGCCGCAGACCCAGAACAGGTATCGAGAGAATTGCACTAAAACGGAGACCTGAGCATGGATCAACGCTACATCACTATTCTGTGACGCTGTTTGTGGCTGCAGCGCCAGGAAGAATAAGAGAAACAATATGGAATAGCACCTGAAGTTTGTCTGAGCGGCTCTGGTCAAGGACCAGATTGCATCTGTCGACCAGATTGGCAAAAACAAGCCGACACCGATGCCGATTGCAGAGACCTCGGATAAGGAAAGATTGAAACTCTAAATGTGCCTGCGAACGTAGGTATGCACTAGACTGACCAGCACGGGCGTACAGCAAACCAGCTGTGCCGAGCAATTGTTTCGTGCTTTTCTGTACAGCGCGGTGCGGCCATGTCGCTTGCAACTTCGTACCGCTGTTGTTGCAGCTGCAACAAGGAAAGATTACCCCTTGTTTATGCTCGCTTCAACTTCGTTGAGGGACAAATGTTGGATGCCAAACAAAAAAGGAAGCTCGGCAGGACCAGTGACAAACAGCTTCAGCTGAGTATGGACCGCCTGGCTGCAACTGGCAGCACAAGATGTGCGGACATCAACTCGTCCACTCCGTGTCCAATGGCATGACTGGTCTCTTGGCCAACTCAGCCGCACATCTCGTCCTGGAACCCTCAACTGCACCCGACCAAGCAACCAAGAAAACGATGCACAAGGCACATGCGGTTCCAATCAGAAGTCACATCACAGACTTCTCAAAAGGCGATAGTTATTTCTTGGCTGATTGGATTCTGACCGACAAGGAAGCTGCAAACCCGAGTGGGTCTATGTCCACATGACGACAAGCAGGATGCAGGCGCAGTATGCTTCTGCACAGACGGAGAACTTTCACTCGCGCCTTGCAAGTTCTTACCGGCCCTCCTGCCCTATCTTGTGGACGGCCACTCACCATGAAAACGATGAAAGCTTGGCTGGCATTCACGAGCAAGCGCTCGTCCAACCGGTAAATGAATACGTATCCCTTCGGGTGATTTTCCTCTTGAAACGTCCATTTTTCAACGACGGGGACAGACTGAATGCTGCACAAAGCGGCATCATTAGCGAGTTGCTTTGATGCCGCGACCCATAGCCGGCAAAACATCGCAGCCCATGCTGACAGTACATATCTCACACCGGCTCTCTGCGAAGCGCACTCTTTATGTGCGAGTATGAAGAATGGTTGAATGCGCGCTGCACATAAGATGAGACGTCGGGGTCACCAGCGTGCATCAAATTCAACATCTCCTCACAAATGTATTCCAAGCTTGAAGCGAGAGGGCGTGCATCACATGTGCTCACCAGGACAAGCATTTTGCTCGATGCCAGCCCGAATACATCTTGCCTCAAAGAGAACCTCGACTTTCGTCTCCAGCCGCCAAACGTCCAGTGCTTTCGCTTGACCACGAAAGCGTGCTGAACCTCTGATGGCGGAATGGGGCTGATTTACATGCTGCGACTGAAAAAACACACACATGTGTCACATGGGCACACAAGGTCGAAGCCACAACTTGCTTGTCTTCCAGGCTGCCCTCTATAAAATCATTGAGCGAGATTTGCCCATCCCCGTTGTCAAGAAACCTGGCATCAGGATCAATAATCTCACCAGCCACTTTCAATCACGAATAGTCACATCTCAGTTGTCACATCCAGATTCCAGGTTGAGACGGTTTGCCGGTTGGTCAACTTGCAAAGGCTTCGGGCGTGCAGGTTTGTTTCCTTTCGTTTGATACGTATAAAAACTGCTTCTGGCTCACACGGCTCGCTGTGACCCGCTTCTTGCAGGAACCTCGCAAAGCGAAGTTGGTCGGAGCATAATTTGAATTTGCACACTGTCTAGGCTTCAACTTGCCTTCTGTCGCAAAATGGATGCAAAAACTGCTGAAAACAAACCCACAAACGGTGCGCAGAATCTACATAGTAAAGAGGTGGCTGCCATAAGCTTTCAATAGTTCGAGGGCTACAGATTGAAGCGTGGAACCAAGGGAACAGGAACAATCTGGCGTCTCGCGATGGCGGGCGCAAACTGTTATCAACGACACCGGCCAGGACTCCCGAAGACTGACAAGGGGACGACACATTGCTTGCATTGTGATTCAGGGGATGAACCTGGCTGCATACCTCACAATAAGCCTCGCGTGCTCGGCGTTCACTGGTTTGGCATGGCTTGGCTCGACGTGAGGTTTACCTACTGAATTGGAGGAGTGTCCTCTCATCAGACGCCTTTGCAACCTAGCCAGGAAGCTCGAACAAGCTGAGGAGGTCGTGGTACTCCAGCTCCAGCTGACCTCAGGCTGCTCAGGTTGCACACCCTGAACACCAATCCGGCCGCGAAAGCCGAAGGCCCGCAGCATCGCGCAGCTCTTTCAGCCACTTGCACGTCGGGCCGAGCGTCTCATCCAGAAGCTCAACTTTGGGCTCGTCACCAATTTGGCAAACTCGTCGAGGCTTAATGCTCCGTCACCTCAACAGGGCGCCGCGAGGAACAAAGCTGGCGTGGGTAGCTTGGCAACCTTCTCTCTCACAACGTTCGCAGCATGCACTTGCAAGGAAAAACACCAGCAAGGACATGGACAACCATGGCGACATGATGCGGTAAGCAACGCAGTGCAGGCGCTGGTGTGGTTTGTTCATCACAGGAAAGAGCAATTTAAAAAAAAAAAAAAAAAAAACTACGCAAAATGCGCAGAGTCAAACCGACTCTTGCGAGCCTTCCCTTTGGAAGAAGTTCTGCCTTGCCTGAATCGTCCATGGACTGGAAAAGCTTTCGCACCTTCCGGGTGTAAGCTTGGATCTCCTTCTCCTTCTGTCTGTAAGCGAGTTCTTCATCCGAGCTGGCAGTTTTCAGGGTTTGCTGAATGAACACTGCCTGCAATCACTGCAAACCCAGAAACGGGTCAAGCTTTCCCTAAGCCCTAAGCTTAAAAAAGAGTTCCCAAACACAAAACGCTGCCAAGTGCAAGTCGGGTTGCCCCCACTACGTTCAAAACTGCGAACCCTATCACACACCGGTACAGCAAGAAGAACAACGAAAACCACTCGCTGACATTCTCCACGAGGATTCGACATGGCGGCCCCCAATTTGCAAATAACACCCTGGGATGCGTCAGACGATATCAGCGTTTGTACTTCCTAAAACTTTGGCTTTAGGACGCTGATGATGTTGTTGTTGTTGTTGTTGCTGTTGCTGCTGTTGCTGTTGCTGTTGCTGTTGCTGTTGTGGTGGTTGTTGTTGTTGTCGTTGTTGTTGTTGTTGTTGTTGTTGCTGCTGTTGTTGCTGTTGTTGTTGTTGTGGTGGTTGTGGTTGTGGTTGTGGTTGTTGGGAGACCTTCGTCAGTGCCCGTCACAGCCTGGTCTCTGGCCTATCATAATCCGCATCAACTGTGCTATGCACACACAGTAGTGCATATCCTTGCCTCGCTTGCATCAGAGGGTATTCTTTCTGATCCATATCTGAGACAAATATTGACGGAAATTGACGCAGTAGGGGGTCGTTCTTCTAGTGTGGATGTTCGTAGGCTGCGACAGCTACGTCCTCTGCTGACGGGATGGCGATTCAGACCCAGGCAAGAAGATGCATCCCAGTTTCTAGCACATATCATTCAGAGATCCCATGTGCTTTCAGCAGATGTTTGGGAAGCGAGGGTTCAAATCACAGCACCCGTGGAAAGAATCAGCGTAGAGGATAGAGGGGGTTTGATTCTTTTCTTGCCTGACACACCAGATGGCCTCTCCACACTACAGCAAGCCATTTCTCAGTGGGCGCACAGGGGGAGCACCTATGGGCTACTCCCGGGAGTGAACCTGGTTTGCATTCAGATCCAAAGGTTTGAGCACTTGGAGAAAACAAATCGGCCTCAAGTTTTAGACACAACTCTGGAGCTTCCAGAGTTTATAGATAATGGCACGACAACCGCTGTGGTCAGCTTTCGACTATATGCATTCATCATTCATCTAGGAGATGATTGGAGATCTGGGCATTATAGGACAGGTTTTTTGAGAGAAGAAGTAGCGTATCTCGCAGATGATGACCGCTCACCACGGCGAACTACGCTCCTCTCGGATCAAATTTGCCAGGGATCGTATTTGGCTTTCTACGTAAGGGTCTAGCTCGCTCTACCTTCGCATGCGGAGGTTTCCTCCGGAGGCTTCCTCCGCAGCAGTGTTCTTTCTTCTTAAAGTAGACCTATCTGCCTGCTGTTGCCTAAGGCAACCCGGCATGAACGCTGCCCTGTGCGCAATAAAGCCATGATCTCGTGCTAAGATGTATAGTCTCTTGCGTGAAACTTTCACATGCGGAGGTTTCCTCCGGAGGCTTCCTCCCCGGTAGTGTTTCTCACAGTAGACCGTTCTGCCTGCTGTAGCTCAAGGCCAAGCTGACCCATTCTTGTCCCTGAACCTGAAGCATCTGAAAGAGCCCTGCGCGCACTTCAGAACATGTGAGGTCTCCTCCAGGTCGGTGGGTTCAGCTTAGGGTCACTTTTTCGGATGCAACCTTGCCTTGTCGCAGCGCTGGCCCCGAGAGCCGTGCAAGGTGTCCCAGGTCAGGTGCTTCCCTCTTCGCAAAGTACTCGTGCCTATGTGAGACCTCCTCGTTAAGTTCGGTCAGTTGGGGTCACATTTTCTCGACCAGGAATGCAATTTTGCCCTGTCGCAGCGCTGGCCCCAGGAGCCGCGCAAGGCGTCCCAGGTCAGGCTTCGCAAACTTAGCTACCCTGCCTCCAACTTGGGCATCCTTCTTGGAACGTGCAAGGCCGCCTTGGTGCGCTCTGCCTACGGCCCTCTGCCAGTTGTTTAGCGTTACCTGTGTGAGACGTCACTAGACAGGAACGCTGAGTGTCGGCCTCACCAGAGGTACGGCTCGCTAAACAGCTGGTGCGTGGGTGCTGGACGCAGTGACTCACAGTAGGGTGTCGGGGTAGCCGCGCTTATTTTTCACTCTTTTGCAGTGCTGAGTACTTGATATCGGAGGCTGCCTCCGTGCCAACTTCAATTTCTTCATTGATTCATTGCATCAGATTAGGAGGTTTCCTCCTGAATATCCTTAAGTACTCTGCCAAAGCAGATTCAGTATAGCAGGTAGTGAGACCTGGCAATCTGGAGGAAGCGATCCTCGAAGTCCAAAAGGCCGGACTGTGAAATAAAAAAGGCGGGTGAGACCTTCTATATCACACTTGCCCGCCTTAATCACACCAAACTCAGCTAGCGCACAGCTATATCCTGCAACA